TTCATTCTTGTATTTAGTCATGCTGGTCAGACTCGCACTCTCTCTTCTTCTCTTTTACTTTTCATAGTTAATTATTTATTACATTTGTAAGAGTTATTTGTACGCACTGCCCTCGAGACCTACGTACCGTGACGGTAGTAAGAACGTTAGTATATATAATAGTAAAGTTTATAGATTTTTACAGTCTTTACGGGTTTTTGAACGGCGGCTCTAGCGTTAGGTAGCGCAAAATTTTAGTAATCCTCTTTGGTTTTCAATTTTTTAATTCAAGAATGCAATGCTTAAGTGTCGTGTGCGGGTTACATTTGCCCGCTAGTAGGTTGAAGCAGTCTTTGCGAAGAATTTAAAACATTTTTAGTTATATTGATATATGATATTAAGATTTTTTAATACTTTTGCAATTGAGTCAATCGACCAGAAATCCGGCAATTTTAGAGTTATTAAAGTTTTTGTGGTTGTCCCAGCGTAAGTACTAACACTTAGCGCTAAGACAGTTGGTTATAGGAGGAAAGGTGAGCTAAATTTACCAGGTAGCACATAGTTGAGAGGTAAGAGGCAATTACTACTTCCAGGTTTTGATCGAGCTTTCATCCATGTTAGGACGTTGAGTTTGGTATTAGGTATCAGTGCAATCGTTGTCATTATCATCCTTCGACACACCTACAAAGAAGGCTACAGGAACTGTTGTCGTTCAGGATTTCTGATAGTTTCGCGATGCAGAAATCATGCGATTCCTGCTTCTCTCCAGCGGAGACAGCCATGTGCTTCCCGCATATGCACTTCCAGATTGCAGATCGTTGCCCATTGTCCAATTGGATCTGCTTTTGTCTGAACGTCGATTCTTCGGTTTCCCGAGTGCCGAACGAGCATCGAAGGAAGATGTTCCGACCAGGAACTGGAAAAAGAGTTCCGTCTGGTTGGTCCCGGTACCCATCGTTCAGGTTCACAGGGCGAACGAATTACAGTTTCGTAAGGGGAACGATGCGAAGATCTGCAGCAACCGCAACGACCAAAAAAAAAGAAAGCCTCGAACCTGTGCCTCGGCCGAGGCAGCAAGCAGATGGGGATATCTAATATTGGACCAGATATACACAGTAGGTATTACCTAGGTATGCGAGGCTAGGGTCTTGGTTACTGGTAAGGCGATTGCGAACGTTGAGAGAAGTCCAATGAAGGAGATTGTCGGGCGAAAATGGAAGGTCCACTGTTGCTGGCAGCACGTCCTGATCATTTCCGCGAGCAGGTAGGTACATGTCCCACGATGATCCGGTTGGGCCGTTGTATTTGACAGACTCGTAGTGTAGACTCGTAGCTAAAATCCATGTTTGAACAAATATCATCCATTCGTCAAGGAGATGCCTTCGTCGGGTCGCAGGGGTAGCTTCTAAAAACGCCTTGGTTGCGTCACCGGTACAGGATACCTGACAGTGCGCTGTTTTGTCCCGTCGCCATTTGTCGCAGTTGGGATATCTCGGCAGCGCGGCTTATCGTCGGCTGAAACAACGATAAAATGTTGAGGCTATCGCCAGCCTCGATAATTCTATGGCTTTGAAGCAATGCCTCAGGAAGCAGTGGACACTCACAGAGCGGTTGATCTCCCGGCATTGTTCTGGCGATCGTTTGCCTAATCAGGGCCAACGAACGACGGCAGCTTGTTGTTTAGCGCTTCGTTTGGGCAGCTCTGGGAGTGGAAGCTTGCCAGCACTTGCCCCGAATCAGATCCATTTTGGGCGCAATCACGCCAATGGCCAATCATGTCGTTACTACGGAAGGCGGCAGGGACAATGAGAGTCACGATCGCCACGCCTGTGTTGGAGACACGGTCAAGCAGTCCACGGAATCCGATTCAGTGAGCACCTCACTCAGTCACCACTGACTGCACTTCTGAAAGCCTTGGACGAAACATCTCCGAAAAGTTACCCAGGTCGATCACTTGGCGACTGCTTCCAATCGTTGTTCAACAGACTATTTTTTGTTCAGGACATACCTAGTAACCTTACCAATGGCGCAGCCGAAATACCTCAGTGGCGACGTCGCTGCCATCAACGATTTCATTGACAAGTTCGATGTTTGTCTTCCCCGATGGAGCTACCGGTAATACCCATGATTATGAATGCAATGCTTACACCAAGAATAGGTCTTCTTGTTCGACTGCGATGGTGTGCTATGGTCTGGAGATCATGTCTTCGAGGGTGTTGTCGAGACGTTGGACTTGCTAAGATCAAGAGGCAAGAAGACGGTGTTCGTGACCAACAACTCAACAAAATCTCGTCCAGAGTATAAAAAGAAGTTCGAGGGCTTGGGAATTCCAGCGGATGAAGATGAGATCTTTGGCTCTGCGTATTCTTCCGCCATCTACATCTCCAGAATCCTGAAGCTGGCGCCGCCAAAGAACAAGGTCTTTGTGATCGGCGAGGCAGGCATCGAGAAGGAGTTGACGACAGAGGACATCCCATTCATCGGTGGTACCGACCCGTATTTCCGTCGAGATATCACGCCAGAAGACTTCACGGGTCTTGCGGACGGATCTCTGCTCGATCCCGAGGTCGGCTGCGTGCTCGCGGGCTTGGATTGGCACATCAACTACCTGAAGCTATCGCACGCATACCAGTATCTCCGTCGCGGCGCTGTCTTCCTGGCCACAAACGTGGACTCGACCTTCCCCATGAACCACAACTTCTTCCCCGGCGCAGGGTCCATCAGCATCCCGCTGGTCAACATGACGGGGCAGGAACCCGTGGCGCTCGGAAAGCCCAGCCAGGCCATGATGGATGCCATCGAGGGCAAGTTCCACCTGGACCGCGCGAGGACGTGCATGGTAGGAGACCGGCTCAACACCGACATCAAGTTCGGCATCGAGGGACGGCTGGGCGGCACACTTGCCGTCCTGACGGGAGTGAGCAAGAAGGAAGACTGGGAGGCGGCGGATGCGGTTGCCGTACCGTCATTTTACGTCGACAGGCTAAGTGATCTAAGAGCTGCTACGCAATAAAGGAGGGAGAGCAGGTGCAAGGAGCTGGTGGTGTACAGGGTGCGGATATGAGGAGTAACGGATGCCTGGTAAGCGGGGGGGTTATGGATGCTAGCATAGACGGCGTGGATATTGCTATATTTCCCTTTACTAGGAGAGCAAGCATACCTAGACAAAATGAGGCAGCCAATGGAATAGATAGACTGGGACAAGTAAATGTGGTAAGACCTGGCCACAGAAGCACAATGACGGCCGGGAGAAGACCTGATGTTTTCGTACGTTTCCGCCTGCCAATACGTCCTACAATCTCGACGACCTGATCATGACCATCAATGGGACGATAATATGAGCCAAAGGCAATAGTCTGGTGGTATATGATGGCATGTTCGCATGTTGGCATGTGGTATGTTGGGATATTTCCCTGCTGGCGAGTACTAAGTAGTGCAAATAGTGGAGAGAAAGCAGGAAAGAAGAAGAGAAATCCCATGTGATGTTATTTCAGGAGTGACGAGTGTACCTAGGACAGTGTGGCCGGTCTGGAATCTTCGGAGCTCGGGACCTCTCAGGCTTTCGGAATGGCTTCTTTCCTCTCGGCTACGGGAAGCCTCCTTTTTTCTCTTTCAGATGGAAAGTTCGACTTGGGCCTGGAAGCCCGAGACAGCCGATGACGTAGCCGGCTGTCTAACCCTGACATTCTGGTGCCCCGACCCTGCTCGTAAGTTGCTGGTGTAACCCTAGCCTAACCCTGGGGCCTAGACTGCCCGGTGACTGGCGGTTGCTAGTGGACAAGGCCTGCGTGTGAAATATGCAAGCCATCAGTTGGGGAAGGACCCTGAATTTTACCAAGCGCTCAACGACAACCTGTCGAACCTGTCGCCCGACGCCGCTGACCTGCCAGCTAACCCGTCCAACCCATCCGGGCAGACGAGGGTGTGAACCCTTACCCTTTCGCCCTGGTTTTTTTTTTTTTTTTTTTTCCTCCAAGGTCGGCGGCAAGGGTTCAGTTCGAGGGGATCCAAAGGGTCCTCTTGTGACCCGGTCCTCGGTAAGGATGCCCCTTGGATGGCCGTTTCATCAGTACGGCGACCGTAATATTGGCGACATCAGATTTCGGGGTCCATGTTGTGCTTCCTTCTCCAGGTATGTATCCTGCCCTGCTGCCCTGGGAGGCATGGGGAGCCTCGAGACTTTATTTGCCCTTTATTTACATGCGAGAGACGTGAGCTCTGCCGATCAGCCCTTTTCATCTCCTCCATTGCAGCCCAACCAACCCTCTGCATATCAATGGAAAAAGGGGTCCAAATCCGCGTGCTGTGACAGGTTTCCGCGGCCACAAAACCGGACAGTGCTGACACCAATGGTTCCCGTGCTGTGCCGTGATGGTTCCCGAACGGCCCAAAAACTCCCCCACAATTGACCCTGTCATTCAGTGGGAGTGGAAGCCCCGCCGTTGGCAGGCCGGTGCCAGTGGATATCAGATTGGGATGCAGCGATCCCGTCATCACGCTCTGGTGAAGCATCGTCGAGAGATGACTGGTTCTTTTCTTGCTGGAGAGCATTCTGGATTCGGCTTAGCTTGGGTCGAATCCGGAGCATTTGCGACGGCTGCGAGGAAAACTGGATGGGACAGGCCTCACCTGGCATCAACCCTCCTCTCGGTGATCGTACCTTGGGGAGCCCGGCCAGGGTTCAAACTCGTCAACGGGAGGAATGGATGGGGGTAGAGCAAACGGCTTGGGCGGGGATAACACACAACCCAGCAGTGAGGTAAAAATAAAATTCTGACGCGAGAAATAACGTCGTTTCAGGCTCGCTCTAGCGGCTCTAGTGACATTGGCTTCCTTTTCTGTTCTCTGCCAGGCAGGTCCATTACACCCGGATGCGGCCTCTCGACCGATTCTGTCGTTTTATTTTTCACCATCAGTACCCTCTTTTCGGTCCCATTCCGCCGCTCTCCCACCCGTTCATCTTTGGACGCGATAGAAGGTACATAGCTTCCGCTTCGGTCCCCTGTCACATCAGTCACGTCCATCCGATCTTGACTAGTGTTGACTCCCCATTCCTCCGTCATCCGCCCACTCACTACTGCCCACTATTTCCAACTGGTTTTTATTCAGGGTACTGTAGAGCTGGGTGCCCGGTGTAGTGGTATTCGGACTGCAGTGTAATACAGCTCGGGCTGTTTCTGCTCCGCGTCCTTGATCCGATTATCTGCCTGTGGCCTCCAGGTACCGGCGTACCTAGTACTAGGCGGTCGTGTTTTGGAAGGAGTTTTTTTTTTCTCCTCCTCCCCCCCATCGATCTCCAATTCCCGCCATCTCCAAGCCTCAACTCGCTCCATCCCGCATCTGCAGGTCAATGAGGTGCAGCTGTTACTAGTACAGTAACGATAGCTGCCATCCAAGAACGGGAAAGTGCGAAGAACCGGCGGATCGGAACCTGGAAAAGACATTGGGTGGAATAAGGCAGGGACGATAGTGGAGGAGCAACCGAAGAAAAAAAGGGTCTGAAGTTCAGCCAAGGAAGGACCAAGGAAGTACCAACTCTCCAACTTGGGAGGTGCCGCCAACTGAACCACATTCCCAATCCAACCTGGAAGGTTCCCCAGGACGCCAGGTAGGCACGCCTTCCTTCCCTTTCCCTTTCCCTCTCTTCTCTTTTTGTCGACGGTCTTCAGTAGTACTTCGCGGGCCGAGATATTCCCCTCGATCCAAGACAACCGAAGCAAGACAAGGTCTTTGTTCGACATCCAATCTTATATATCCTCCCAAGGTACCATCATTGCTCCCCAACATGGACTTGATCATCCCTCGCCGTGGATTGGGATTTCCTTTGGTCGATCCTTGATCTTGCCCGCGCACACCATCAGGTCCATCGTCTGTCATCCTTGTCATCCTTCACTGTCTCACGGTCTCACCTCTCACCTGCCGTACCAGGCTGACCAGGCCGAACAGCCCGACCACACAAACAAGCATACCACCGCCTCGTCAACCCTTCTAAGCCATCCAGGTCCCTTCGACCAACTCGCGGCGCCAGTAAACCGATACGGCCAACAGCATCTTCTCCCACCATGGAAAGCCCATCCCCATCCGCCCCATCCGTCCCTGACGAGAGGGAAGTTCAACGCGCCGCCCTTGTCGGTCACCGCCAGCGCCTAACCGATGCCTTGGCGCTTGCTCCCTATGATCTCATCCTTTACTTGGAGCGGGCTGTCGTTTATTCTGACCTGGCATATCCCGATCTTGCTGCCGGCGATGCGTACCGCGCCCTCCTTCTGACCGACGAAGTCCTTAACGAGGGGTTCGAATATCACGAACAAGCCAAGGAATCTCTTGAGGCCCACTCAACCGAGCCTTGTTCCCAAAGTCCTCAACCATGGCGATCTTCTTGTCAACATGAAGAACATGGCCGACGGCGACGAAGTCGAAGGATCCGAGCCGTACCGTCAACTGGCTATCACAGCTTCTGTTCGTTGCTTCCAGATTCTATCACTGAGCCTTCTATTGTGTGGTTGTCTAGCGAGCGCGTCCGACTTTGTTGAAAAAGGTCTCAAGATTCTTCCGGAAAACAAGGAGCTTCTAGAGATCAAGGGATATACCGAGCAGGTTGCCAGGCGGCGGTTGCGCTTGAAGCCCGACGACCCGATCGATTTCCATGATCTTCCTGACGTCGGGGTTGTGCGCCGCGAGATCTACCCCTGGAACACATACGAGCCGGATCGCTTCTCGGAGGAGTCACTGTCATTCTTGAACGGTCAGCTCGAAACCATGGCGCCCAAGTGCGCCGTAAAGGTTTCGTGCCTACCCGTTCTCCTCGAGGGAGAGAGCAACACCGACGAATACGAGATTATCCCAACCTGCAACCAGCTGGGCCTCTTTGCGCAGGAAGATATTGCTCCTGGCGAGGCTGTCTTGAAGGAGTACTCGTTGCTGACGGCGAACAACCGCCACAAGGAATCCACATGTGATGCCTGCGGTACTGAGCTACCACCACTCAAAGTTCAGACAGAAGCAGTCAGCTGCCCGGAATGCTATGATACCGTCTTCTGCGACGAGTTCTGTTTCGAAAAGGCCCAGGAAGAGTATCACCCGGCGGTTTGCGACAAGGACGTCGACTCGATTGCGAAGGACCCCGAGGCCAAGGACGTTGCCGAATCCCTATACCTCCTCCTCTTGGCTCGCCTGCTCGCAATGTCAAACCATCAGGAGGTCCATCCTCTGGAGCTGAAGGAGATCAAGTACATCTGGGGAGACTTTGTTCCTACCCAGCTGAACGACATTGATTTGTCGATCAACGCCGGCCCACCGCCCGAGTGGACCTTGCCGTTCTCCTTCAAGTATAACATTGAGATCCCTCTTCACATTCTTGAGAAGATGGACATCGACATCTTCGAGACGCTCCCTCAACACGACCTATGGGTCTTTAACACAGCGTACAGCAAGTTCCGTGGCACTGCGTCTGCCCGCAAGGGCTTGCGTGACGGTCGTCCCGAAGTAGCGGCTGTTCATCCCTTCTGGTGCTTGGCCAACCACGACTGCGATCCCAATGTGACTTGGGAATGGGGTGGTCGGATGACTTTGTTCGCTCGGGAGACTCGCGTTGTCGGCAACCGGCCAGGCGGCATCAAGGCGGGCGAGGAGATCTTGAACCACTACTGCGACGTCGATTTGCCTGTCAAGGACCGAAGGGAATGGGCCCAAGGAGCGCTGGGCGGTTGGTGTATGTGCAAGAGGTGTCGCGATGAAGCTGCCGCAACGAACGGTAGCGATTAGGAAAAGAGAGGTTGTGCTGTGGTGGAGAATACCTCTGAGTAAACCTACGCACAGTTGGAAAAAAAAAAAAAGAGAATGGAACTTACCCCTTTTGGTATGATTGGGCGGAAGCAGGGAAGAAATTTGGTGGTGGATTTGACTTGTTTGTTGGAGCCAGAGGCTGCCTAGGGAAAAGAAAAAAAAGTGTAGTGAGAAGAAGTCTGGCTACATCAGACATACCATGGTATGCTGCGCGGCGATATCCTCAAATGTTTTGGCAGGTGGTGCTTGGTCTATACTCCCTTCTTCGTTGATTTTTTGTTCTTGATGTTTTTCTAGAACTTTTTTTATACAGGACCCTTCAGCAAGCACACGGAATATGCTGGTCACTTTAACAGATTTGGGTTGTTGTTTACACCGGGGAAATCGCATTGAATCATGAACAGTTGAAACACTAGTGAGCATCGGGCAGTTCCAGTGGCCAAGTATATTTGGTCCTCCCCTCCCGTGCTCTCAGAGACTGGCGGCGGCCGGCATCTGGGGATCAAGATCAGAGTGCCTAATCCCTCACCTTGGATACCCAGGTGGATCATCAACGGTGTGTGCATCTCACCTTAGTAGCTCACCTTATCCCTGAACACCCCCAACATCGACAAGATGGACGCGGCGGATAATCCGCAACTGTTGATTTGTAAAGCAATATCTACTTATTTCTCCGATGATATCATTTAAAAAATCATCCACGGTAAATACGAGATAGTGAAGCACCGTACCAGGCGAGGGGATTTCAGGCCCAACAGGCCGCCCCATCCTTGAAGTAGAAGACCTCCGCGTTGTCTCCTCGACGATTCCGTTTTCAAGGGTATAACAATCATCTAGGCCCTACCAACATCCAATATTTCCTAACCATTCAATTACCTCAAGCTCTAACAAACAATTGAGGGTCAAGTAATTGTTAAAATTTCTAGCGAACGTCGGATCGCGGTACATGGCCAAACCCACCTCCCATGGTCACGCATGGCAAAGGTAACGAGCGAAATACCGTAAGATGGTGATTCGACACGGAACGTGGCCGAGCACCTATAGAGACCTCAAAAAGGGAAAGGCTGTGACAGACAGTCAGTCACCCACCTGTGCCTCGCCCTTTCTCCATCATAGGTAGCATTCCTTCCTTGTCGATGAAAGCCTCATTGTAAACCGCAAACGGCTTTTGCGATTTAACAGTATGGGATGGCATCAGGGTGTTGTACTGATGAGTGCTTTCACCAAAAGACTGTGAATAAAGTTAACTGCGCTTTTTACGCAATTGGAATTCTACGACATGCCTCGTCGCTGGGTTATGCATACATAGGTAGAAAGGTAGTCACGGCGCTTCATATACCTTTCTTTACCGTCTAATCTTGCGAAACTATACGGTATTTCGACTCTTTTCAGTCAGCCTCTCTCCTCAGATAGCACCACAACGACTACTACAGCTAGCTCATTCATTGAACATTAACCTCAACCAAGCGGGAAGGAAGAAGGTCAAAAGAAGCCCCCTATCTTGGTTCAACCCCCCCCCCCCTTTTCTTTTTTTTTTTTTTTTTTTTTTTTTTTTTTTTTCAACAACAGATACGAGCGAGTGTGCAAAGAGGGGAAGAGGTATCTTTTGCGCATAAAGCGACCGGAAAAAGGCAATAGTAAACTATATTTACAACCAACGAAACAAGCGTAGGTCTCTTTCTTTTCCCGCTTCTGAATGTCTTCGCAGTGCATATCCACGCTTGGGTGTTTTGGAAAGATAACATCCACATAGACTCGGAATCAGACGAGACAAATGGCCTTACTTGAGTTCCTTCTCTTTCTACCTTCCTTCGACCGATACAGACGGCGCAACACGCAACCCCACATATGAGATAGAAACATAACCTGGCACGCAATCAATCAATCAATCAATCAATCATTTTCCCCTCACACATACAAGAAAAAGAAAATACAGTTCAGTTCCAAGCAACCAACACGCCTATCAGCCTTTAAACGCCCGCCCGTTCCACCCTGCCGTCGAATTCAATGACTAGTTAATGCGAGGAAGAACAGGATAAAGAGGCTTCTCCGGTGCCGAAGGACCCGCCGCCGTCGGCATATTCGGGCTCTTCATCTGCTGTTGCTGGCTCCGCTGCTGCTGGTTGCGATCCGACGACTCGAGCACCATGGGGTCGATCCTGCTAGTATCGTCCTCATCAAAGTCCTGCCTTTCCAGACGGGCACGGATGCCCTGGCGAAGGTACTCGATGACGCGCATGTGCTGGAGCCAGTCGTCGTAGGTCTCGGGCCCATTGACGTCGCCTTCCGACTCCTCCGATGGCGAACTGGCCGTGGTAGCCTGCTCGCTGGCCTTGGGGGTGGGCGCACGGTCTTCCGCATCGGCGGCGCGGCGCGCGCTCTGAAGGACGCCGCCCGAGAGACGACGCTCATTGTGGGTGAAGTTGGAGCCCAGACCCGAGGTCGAGGGGTAGGGGAGGCCTGGCCGGCTGGGGAGAGTCGGGTAAGAGACCGAGGGGGTGGAGCTGTGGCGCGTGGTGGGAGACAGGCTGGTGGAAGAGGTGCTTGGTGAGTGGCCCGAGGTGTACGACATGTTGCTAGGAGTAGGCGTAACAGCAGGGGTGCCAGCCGAGTGAGGAGAAGCAGCGCTAAGCGGCGAGGCGAGGGACGCGCCAGGATACGGGTCGATGTTCGGGCGAGTGGCATATGTAGGCGAGTGATGGCGCATCTCAACAGCGGTGTTCTCGTAGACAGTCGCTTGCATCTGCTCGAGGAAGTGGTCCATTTGCTGGAGGTCCTCCTTGGTGCGAAGGTTGGGCATGGGCGGGAGGTAATAGTGCTGAGTGAGCGGATGATGGGCGCTGGCCATGCCGAGAGTGTGAGGAGGCTGAGCCATGTACTCAGTCGCCAGACCTCCAGAGTGAAGGCCCAAGGGAGCATGGAGAGGCATCAGAGCGCGGCCAACCGACTCATAGGAGGCAGGGTTGATTTGGCGGCGCTTGACACTGCCAAAGAAGTCATTCAGGTCATCAAACTGACGCTTCCGAGCATCGAAAGGAGCAGCCTGGTGGCCAGTAGCGAAATCGTTACGCTGGCCGCCCATGGGCTGGGCTGGGTAGTACATGGGGGCGTGGTAGGGCTGGGATGCTGGGTACTGTGCGTGGTAGTAACTAGCCTGACCATTCTGATGGGGCTGGCCAAAAGGGGCTTGGTTAGTACCGCGCATATGGCCATTGTGATCATAGAAACCGGAGGGAGCTAGAGGCGAATTAGCCTCAAAGAGCATACAAGGGCGGCCCAGCGTGAGGCCGAACAGAAGACAACTGGTCTCACAGATTGCTTATTCCGAGAGACCGAATCGGAGGGAGGTGGTTATATACATACCCTTGTGAACTGGAGCCTGAGCTCTGTACGCGCCATTCATGCCACCGTTCTGGTCCTGGGGAGACCTGCCCACCAGAACCGAGTCGTCGGCATGAGTCTTGACATGCTTCTTGAGATCCTGAGGGCGCTTGAAGCACTTGCCGCAGAAATCGCACTTGTGCGGCTTTAGGGGAACGTGAACACGGACATGCGAAGTGATGTGGTCGCGCTTCACCGTGGTGGTGCGGCACGAGTTCCACTGGCATGTGAGGTTCAGGTTGTTGGTGCTCTTGCGACCAACATGCTTCTCGCAAATGTGTTCCTGATTCTTTCGTGTTAGAGTATTTCCACATATGAGTCTTCATGGTGTTTGACATACGTAGAGCACCTCGGCGCTAGCGAAACGCTCATTGCACTCAGCCCACCGGCAGACAAGGCTCTCATCTTGAGCAGCAGCAGCAGGGGCTGAAGAGTTGCTGGCGGTGGTGGGAGTAGTAGAGGGGGCGGGAGTGGTGTCGTTGGATGCAGAGTTGGAAGAGCTGGATGAAGCCTGCTGAGTGGCATTGGCAGCATTTCCGTTGGCGGGAGCGGCAGGGGCCGTGGGTGGGAGTGGGCGGTAGCAGGCGCCGGTGTAGGCGTTGTTTGGGCCGGAGCCGGGGCCGCCGCATTGTTGCCGTTGACGGCGCCGTTTTCCTGGGCCGGTGTGGACGACATGGTTGCTGCTGTGTGACCGAAACGGGGTGTATAAGTGATAAGTGTCTTGGTACTGATCAGGTACCGAGTACTCTGATGTGACTGGACGAAACGGAGATCAGGTTATCCCGAGGTCCCGATTTCACCGAGTTTGGTGATCGATCGTTTTCAGTGGTCGGTCCGGGTGCGCTTGGGCGAGGTTGGACGAGGAGCGTCAAAACGCGACAATGTGCTACACTGTCGGCCGGGCGCGTGATAGTTGACAGCCGTCCGAGTCGAGATGCTGACAGTGACAGCCAGACGAGGGGACTGGGACTTGTTCGGTAGGTGTTCAAGGACGAGACCCCACCAAGAAAAGCCAAGAAAAAATTGCCGGCGACTCCAATGGGAAGATGGCTTGGGTGGAAGGTGCTGATATGCGTTCCGTATCAGGGTCGGTTATCGGTGCCTGCCTGGACCTGCAGTGGTATGCAAGTTTCAATCGGGTGTTGGGCGCGCAGAAAGAATCGCCAAAACGCTCCGGTCGTCTGTTAGAAGTTGCAAGAGGAAAAAAGCCCCAACAAACAAAAAGTCCTGATAGATTTTAAGTTGTTTGCAGAGGGAAAACACGTTGGATCAACAGCGGGCCTTCACTGTCTTTATTATGGCCTTGCTCCTTGGCGGTGCTGGGCGAAAAGACTTGGCAGACTCTCTTGGCGGTCGCGGGCTCGGACGCCAAGCCTGCTCAGCCCGTCTAATTGGACGATACGACCACGCCCGATCCGGCATAGGTACCCTCTGTTTGTGGTGTAATGTGGCGTGCTGTCGTCGGTGCTGAAAAGGGTTCTGGGGCGGACAGGGCGCAGTGGGGTGGGACCGCCAAAAGATCGCCCTGCGCACGCTCTCCAGCTCCAGCCAGCTGGACCATAGGGAAACACGCCGCTTCAAAACACTAACAGCACGACATAGCTGCCAAGATCTGCCAAGTCCGTGCCAAGGCTTGGCATTGCAGAAACAGCTTGGCGACCCTCCACAGTCTCGTCTCCCCTCATTGCCCCCTTGGTGAAAGTGGTCACACTTGTCCGTTGACTCTTCACTCTTGCGGCTGTCGCCCGTCTCGGTTCAGCGCCATCCTGTTTCTCCTGCTTTTGGGACTTGCTTTGAGTACTTGTCTTCGCTTGAGCTGACAGGTTTCTCGAATGCCCCTCTGGGCTTGTTGGACGTTTAGCCGATCCCATGACCGATATCAAGCAAGAAGTCCCTTTTGTGTTCTGTGCCGTCATTGAGCGTGCATGTGCTTGTGGACTCTCTTCCCCATCGCGAGCGTTCCCTACCTTGGGTGCTGTCTGTCTGTCCGCTAACAGCTTACGTAAATTGCGGCCATTGAGCCATGGTCGGTTGTTGGCTCGCGTGATTGGCCACCCCCGTCTTGGAAATTTTGTCGTCTTCCCCATTCACCACCCCATTGACCCATTTCCCCCCCTCCATCACGGCCAGGAGTACGGGGTAAAAGTCATCCGCACATGAGGGCGGTGGGCACTCTTTGGCTGCAATGGGAAAGGTCCGGCGGCCTGTCATGACCGGTTGACGCCGGGTGAGGATGCCTGATTGTGTAGTTTCCGCCTTTGCGGACTGAAAGCCGCCGAGTTTGTTCCGCAATCCACTGCCGTCGGACGGGACCAATTGCCCGATGGTTGATTAGGTTGACCTCAGATGGCTTTCTCACAAGAGGCAGAAGAAAGATGAAGTTTGGAGAAGAAACATGAACACAGTCGGTGTTATTCGATTGGCACAATAACAGACAGTGACAATGACATATCCCGTCAGAAGCCAAGAGATCATGCAGAGTGCTGCCAAGGGAGCCAAGGGCTTGGACATTCTTGGTGTTCTTGGTCTTTACTTGGCTGACTTGGTATCTCTCGGCAACCACGATATGTGCGATGCAGGAGGGACGGATTGACACATGTTTTCAATGTCGAGACAACGCGTTGACAAGCTTCAGCCTTTGGTTTAATAACGAAATGGCCAAAAACCGGTCCAGCCCACGCGGAAACTCAAAAAGGAACATTCGGCTGTCAACAAGGGCCGGACTGAGATCAGGATCATGCCAAGCGCTGCCATCGGCCAAGGTTTCTTAAAACAACTCCGGATCACCCTACCATGATTCCAGCGCTAATCTCCCACGGCTCCGGGCCTCTTGTAGCGACTCGACGCCGGAGACGGTAGACACGTGCTCACCCCGACCACCGTCCACCACAACCCCGAACATGAGGCAATCCCAGCGCCTGTCAAGCTTGGACAAAGGTCCGTGGTCTGGATCCTTCACCGGTGGATTCGGTACCGCTGCGTACCCATCCGCCAGCGGAGCCTCCACCGGCGGCGCCTCTCCTCAACGAGCCAAGTTCGCTCTCGGTTTCCATCACACTCTTGCTCGGATATCGTTTGGTCTTTACGATGAAACAGCATCCTATCCTGTCTTCTTATCATCGATGGTATAACGATGACTGCTCGGTTACGTTAAGCCCAGAAATGAATATATATGCAGTGCGTTTTGAGCAGTTGAGCAATGTTCAGTTGCAACCGGAACTGCAAAGAGAAACGGTTCTTCAACCCTCTCTAGGTATCGTACATACAGTACCCTCCAAGCCACTCCCGTCACTATCTGGCCATCTTTAATTTGACATCACATCAAGCTTCTTACCAAACGGGGCCCCTCCCGGCAGAAGACATCTTGGCGCCCAGCCTCCCATTGCGACACCAGAACACTTCTGGAAGAAGAAAGGGAACGAGCGCAAAGCGGATGACAGCGCAAGCAATTGTCAGTCGAGAATAAACTCTTGGCTTTTTGCTTGTGTGATTGTTGTTGTGTGCTTGTGTCACTGCTCCGCTCATATCATCCGAACTCCCCGCTGCCGCTGAATGACGCTGTTGGTAGTTGGTACCGTACCGCGCAATCGATGTGATTCATTCAAGGATTCGAAGATTCGACCCGTCTGCACGCTGCCCAGGAATACCAAGAGCTTCCAAGCGGCCAAGAATTCCAAGAGTTCAAGACAACCAAGGAAGGCTATCCAAGATATTTCGAGAATACCAAGAAGTGCCAAGAATTACCAAGAAAACCAAGAGGACCAAGAGGACCAAGAAGGACACGCCCAAGAATACTAAGAGAAACCAAGGACGAGCTGCTCTGAGGCGCAGCCTTACTTGGCAATTGGCCAAAGGGTATGTACACTATAGTGAAGAGAAACTGAAAGGGGTGTATGTAAGTCGGAATCGATCGATCGGTGACGGAAGCGGTAATTGCGGAAGGACACAATGAAAGAAGCGCGTGGATAGTGTTCGTTATCACTACACTCTTGATCATCCTACATCTATATGAGCGCGCGGTAACTTGGAGGTAGGCCGGTACTCTGTTGGCTGGGTGACTATGGCATCTTGTTCATCTGTCATCGGGGAGTTCATGAGAAACTGAGGTCCATGTTGGCTTATATCAAGAAAATCCGAGAGAGAAGCGTGGACGACGGTAAGTGAACAAGGGAAAAGTCTTGGTTCAGATGCTAAGATTGTCATGTAGGTCCTTTTGATATACGTTACATACACGGACTACCAAATGATAACTAAGACCATTCCCTAGATCATCAAAACCAATTCGCTGCAGTGTAGATATCACCCAACGACCCCTTTATGCTAGCCCCGTTTTACCCTTTCTCCCTTCACTCCAGTCTCCGTCTCTCCCCTGCCTCTCCCTTTTCTCCTTTCCCCCCATCCTTCGGGTCCCCCCATCTCCCCGCCATCTACCGATACCTCAACTCCGGATTGGCCCTAAAGTTACACTTGCACCTGCACTCCGGCACCGGACACTCCTGATGCCTAGCAAACCACTCCCTCGCATGATCCAGATGCAGTACATGTTCGCACTGCAAACAGAAAGTCGGAAACCTCGCTGCCCTCTTGTTGGTCGCGTCCGCTGCCATCTGATGAGGATCGTGACCGCCGTGATGAAGACTTCCCATCATGCCTCCATGCCCTCCTCCTCCTCCTCCAGCTGTACCCGGTCCACCTCCTCCATGTCCTCCTCTCCCCGAGACTTCTTTGCCCCCTGAACCCGGTAAACCGCTGCGCGGCATGCCAACGATTTCGAGACAGACTACGCACCGCGGCAGGTGGCGCTTGCAGTTCGGACAAGAGATGCCCGCTTGCACCATTTTTTCTGTAAAGGGGTTCTTGCTGCTTTGCACACCGGCGGCCGCCGGCGGGAGCTGCAGGGCGTCGGGCAGAGGTGGCGGGGGAGGGATGGGGATCTTGGGTGTGGTGCTTCCTCCACCTGAGGTTCCCGATGTTGGTTGTTGTTGTTGTTGTTGTTGCTGTGCTGCTGCGACTGCGGCCGCCGCGGCTTGAGCTTGAGCTTGTTGAGCAGCAGCATGTTGGACCATGAAGGTTGGTATAGGGGATGCGTTGCCAGGCAAGTGGCTGTTGGGGTTGGAGCCATTGGAGGAGCTGTTGTTGTGGGTGTGCAGACTCGTCGAGGCGTCGCAGTAGACGCAGCGCAGGGCGATTTGGCGACCGGGAGGCCGGAGGGTCGGGCGGCCCTGGTGCTTGCTCCGCTTGGTTGACTCGACATCGAACTTGGCTCGGAGGAAGAATGCGTGGTGCCGTTGGAGGTAGGCGCGGTAGGCGGTGCGGAAGGCCGCGGCGCGCACGTCGTCGATGTAGCGCGGTGAGCAGATGGAGAGCGCCAGCGTGGCGGTCTGGAAGTCGCCGAACTTGGACACGTAACGGGCGAGGATGTCAACGAGAGGGTCGGTGATACCGGTCAGCACAATGCCTTCAACGTTGCCCGCCTCCATGGCTGCTTCGGTCTCGGCACGGAGCCAGGCGGTGAGGGCATCATCGGGGAGATAGCGCACGGCGACGTAAACGCGGTCTCGAAGAGGGAGAGAGCGTTGGTTGGCGATGGTCAGCCAGTCACCCGTGGCGATGATGGAGGAGATTGCGCGCAGGTAAGGGTCGGTTTTGGAGGCCACGCGTTCGTCAAAGTCGAGGGCTTCCTTGACAGCGTTGTTCTTGCTCTTTCTGTCCCCGGACTCTTGCGTGACGTTTCCTACGAGCTGTAGTGCGAGAGAGACAAAGAGGAGCTCAGGATGATCGGTGCTGGCTTGTTTGAGCACTTGCACAGCGCCCTTGGTATCGCCCCTGAACAGAGCTTGGGCAGCCGCCATGGTGTGCCATACTGATGCGTCTTTGCTCAGGTTGGATACGGATTGACCATCGATCAAATCCGCGTCATAGTTTCGGCCCCATTTGCACATCTCTAGACACATCTCGCGATGTTGGGGACGCTTCGTATCGACACCGTCAAACTTTGGGAGGCCCAGTTTCTTGTTGATGGCGTTCAAGCAACGCTCCCAACCAGCTTGGTCAGGGGAATGTGAGTGGTCCGATAGTCTTGCTTGAGGTTTACTCCCTAAGTCCGTGTCAGAATAATGATGACCAAGTCGTAGGAGTAGTGGATCAGCATTTACCAAGATCGCCTGTCCACAATGTGTACACTCCCATGTAGCTCAGATCGAGAGGATGAGACATCATTCCGCCATCTGAAGCTGCTTCGTCGGCTCCTGTTACATACCAGACTCTGTTAGAGACTAACCAACGTTGGCCTGGGGCTGAGAATGACTTTACCTGTAATCCAAGCCCACATATCCTTAAGCCATGGGTCATCGGCTACGATCTGCTGATTTCTCCTATAGTTGAAAAGATAGCCCTCCTTTGCACGGAAGATGACGGTATGATCGAGAATAACTTGTGCCTCTCTAGGGAAGTTGCTTCGGTCCATGAGTTTCATTAGCAAGTTCTCATGCCGCTCCAGCTGTCCTAACGGTTCGCCTCGCGTGTTCAAACCGTTTGGTGATCGTTCTCCAACCGTCATCCTCAGGGCGGCCAACTTCTCAGCTATCGGCGCGGTTGTAGAATATCCTTCGGGAAACTTCAAGTTGCTGATTCTATTAAAGCCGTCTGGTCCTATGAGGTCAGTGTAAACATCCGACTGCATGGCGTCTTCAACGACTGCAGTTAGGTTTGCCTTGTCTGGTCCGAATAGCCGCTTGTTTGCCAAGGCCTTCTCGGTCAAAAAGGGCCCTAGGATTTCCTGGGTCTGGGGGATCTCGAAGTCCATGGTTTGATGATAAGATATCCTTTCTAAAAGATTGAGATTGTGAGTGTTTTCTCCGGGGAGCCAAGGGTAGGGTTGATCCTCAGGTGGTTCTTTACCTTCTAATCCTCGGTGGGGTGGTTGCCAAGGGATGAGCTTAAATGGATACTCGGACGTAAATGACGGTTTCTCCAATACATCGAAATTGCCATTGTTCCGGAGGACAAGCATTCTGGCCTGGGCAATGGGTGAAGGCATGGTAATCCAGTCAAAGGATACGATTTTCTCGTGCTTGTGGCGGGCCGGGTCCAGATAGAAAGGATCCATCTCATACGATCTGGCCACCTCGAGTAGCTCCGGGCTATTCTCATACTGGTTACTAGGTTCCACGCATTCGTGTCTCGTGTCCAAGATTCGGAGCTGGCCGGCCCGCGATAGCACGCCTAGCATGCCAGGCTTGTCTCGACAAAAACGAATGGAGCGAATGTAGGAGGTGTTAGTGTCTTGGGCCGGATCCTGACTAAGGACGCGCACCGCTTTTTCCAGACGCAAGGCTCCGCCCCAGGGCAAGTCGTCTTCCTTGACTGCGTCCATGTACGAAGGCCTTGCAATCTGGCGGTTGGTTGCACGTCGGTCCCAAACCATAACACCCGGCTGGTCCAAGGCCGAGGAGGCAAAGTAGTTCTGGTCTGCGTAGTCAATAGCAAGGTTGTTGCAACATTTGTGGGGAAATGAACGACTGAGCCGTGACTTTGTTCTGGAAACCATGTCAGCTCACACTTTTCGAAAGGCTGGCTTGAACTTGAACTGTGAGGCTACCTCGTAAATCATGTATCCGGAGACCCTGCCCCTTGATCCCGGCGACGAGAACATTAGGGTTGTCCTCGAAGAACCTGACGCTGGAGACTGACACGCTGGGCTCGAGACGATCTATGGGATCGGTAAAGGGTACAACACTGCTGAAGCCATGGGCATTGGTATCCATGGTCGACAGCCGGTTGACGTCCCAGATGTAGAGGCAATTGTCACTTCTCACTCTGTCCAGGGCAACAGCAAGCTTGCCGGCGGTATTAAAGGCGACAGCTTGACAGGTGCGGGACATCTTGAGGTTGAGATCCAAGACTGCGTTGGAGTTGTCGTCAACGCGCAAGATATTGACGACGCCGGTCGAGGTGCCAACAGCGACCAGACCGGGTACGGAGGGAGACCAGTCAAAGGTGGTAAGAGGAGGTAGTTCGTCATATTTGCCGAGCTTCCTTGAGTCGAATTGGCCTTTGTTTGCGAAGCCTGTTGGCTCATGGAGCTGCACGACGTGATGTTGAAGGTTGATATGAAGAAACAGGTCTCGCCCCGCGTTCGGGGACCACCTGATGAGACCCGGCTCCGGGCGATCCATGCTGGCGAGTTACTGTGATGTCGTTGTCCTGGTTCCAGTAGTCCGGGTTATGGAGTTACGTGATCGGGTGAGAATATGTGTGATGGCCCCTTATTCGATACCGCGGCTTCAACTGAAGGGCTTACAGCGACAAGCCGTAGATTTGTGAAAGAAGTGTAATGGTGAAGTTGAACAGTTGTGAGTGTTCATCCGAATGCTCCTAGCGCTCCTTCCCAGCCAGATGACCCTGGTTGCACGTGGTTCATGAATCCAAAGGAGAGAAAGGCATAAACAGTCAAAACCGTGTTCATGACATTTTGTAGGAGTGAAGATAATGATAAAATAACCGTCTGGCCTACAGCATCATTGTGTGGTTGCTGGAGTTAGACACACTTTGTTAGAGGAAGGCCAAGACACGCACGCTGTTGGTTGGAATGGAGTCAGTTCACGGGAGTTGGCGATGCCATTCTTATGTAACCCTAACCCGGAGCTAGCGCTGTCACTGCAATTGTGAATGGCGACCCCTGCAGGCCGATTGCAGGGGTCCAGCTCCTTGCTCCATTCTTTCAGCAGAAGTCTCCATTTATTTTTTTCCAATTGAAGAGCCACGACGAACATCGCGACAACCACCAAAGCACCTGAATTCGCATTACCCCCTATCAGATTGCACCAACCACGAACACAGTCACCCAAGAGGTTATTACACTCTCCGAAGTCAACCCATCTCCTATTCCAGCACACCGCGACAATGGGCAAGCGATCGTTCGAAGAGGCCGAGGGCGCGGACGTCAATGGATACGAGGGACAGAACGAAAACAAGAGCCAGAACCAGCACCAGCACCAGCACAAACCCAGAAACCCCCACAACAGATTCAACCCCAAGAACATTGCAAAGCGTCAAAAGACCACCCAGAAGATCAACGATGGCAACCTTGGTCAAATCAAGAAGCGTGTCAGAGCGATCGAACGCCTTCTCGAACACAAGAACGAAAAGTTGCCTGCCAATGTCCGGAATGACCTCCAGCGCGAACTGCAAGCCCACAAGCAGAGGATTTACGACGAGAGCGACAAGAGGCTGAGGAGCAAGATGATTAGCAAGTACCACATGGTCAGATTCTTCGGTATGTTGTTCCCCTCCTCGTCACACAGGAAAGCCTGTCGCATTTCTAACCCAGAATGTCACGAACAGAGCGCAAGAAGGCGGAGCGCCTCGCAAAGCAACTGAAGAGGCAACTCAATGAAACCGAAGACGAAGCCGAAATCGCCAGGTTAAAAGCCGACCTCCACATTGCCGAAGTCGACCTCGACTATGCTCTCTACCATCCCCACATGGAGACCTACATCAGCTTGTACCCCAAGTCCAAGGACGAAGCCACAGAGAAGGACGAGAAGGGCTCAGCCGCACACCACCTCCACTCATCAAGACCCCCAATGTGGACCACTATCGAAAAGGCCCGCGAGGAGGGTAAGAAGGCTCTGGAGAAGATTCGCGACAGGCGGCCGGAACGCGATCTCTCACTCGAGAAACCTGCGTCCAAGAAGACCGCCAAGAAGGATTCGTCACAGAACGAGGAGGAGAAGGAGGAGAGCGAGAGCGAAGATGGAGGTTTCTTCGAAGAACACTAGAATATCTGCCATATTGTCCCTGCTTATGGACCCGTTCAAGACGATTCGATACCTGGCCTCCGAAGGCTGGTCTAAATTATGATACCCATTTACGATTACCGCAATCATGCATTCAGCCCATCACTTCCCTGCATGAGTTCGTTCCGATCTGTTACACAATCCAGGAATAACCTAGGGAGTGGCTGGCAACCCTTGTTTGTTTCCAACTCGGAACTTCAGCACCATCCTGACTATATTTATGGTCACCGAGAAACTCGCCGAAAAGGCACCCCGACAGCTCGCCGCGCTCCTGTTGTGTTCTGCAGAGGGTAGACACTAGTGTTTGATGTAACGGATCCTCGAGGCTGCCGAATTTCTCCCCCTTTTTGTTCCCTATAAGATGATTCCACCCGTGTGCTTTACAATGTTGTTTGTTGAAGAGTTATTCAAGCCAGTCTTGTCGTCTACCTCAGTTGTTAGACAGCATGAAGCAAGTCCTAGTCATGCTTTTGGCCCTCGCGGCTACATCTCTTGCCGAATATGCCACCCCAATCTCGACTACCGGATATGTACACAGTCATCCAAACTGCACAACGACGGTCTTCACTACCATTACTCCAAAGCCAAGGCAATTAACCCATCTCTGGTGTCCATTTTCTCTATGGCCTTTTTCTAGTCAATATGGCTAACTTGTTCCGACGCATCCAGCATTCAAACAGCTTTCACGACGTCTACAATAACCATCACTATTACGAATACACTTCCCATCACTGGCAAGTCAACAACATTGACTCGTCCACCCGCAGCCAACTGCGACGGGAACATAGCCACTCAGATCTCCCAAGCCGTTCTTTGACATCAGCCAAAATTCCATACCCAACCACCAACAACACCATTTCAACCTCCTACAACACAACCACCCATCCCCATCACACCTCCTTCCCTTGCCATACAAAGATTATCAAAACCATCATTTCCCCCTCCACAATAACAACCACCTCAACCCTCACCGTCACCACAACCCTAACCCCTTCATCCTCCTGCACCCCCGGCGTCTGCGGCACCTACACCTTTACCCCCTGCCCCTCTGCTCCCCTAGGTGATTGCCTCTGCGGTCTTGATCCCGACGGTCAAGTCTTCTGCTCGCTAGACGACTGGTGTCAGAACGAGATCGGCTGCGACACCAACGCCGAGTGTTTGACCCCCGAGGGATTGCAGACGGGGGAAGGGTTTAGATGTCTGGTGGGCAGTTGCTGTGATAATGAAGTGGTAGATGATGGACAGGGTGGAGGGAGTGTGGTGAAGAAGAAGGGAAAGTGCGTTAAGGAGAAGGGGGCGGTTTGTTTGAATGAGGCTGTGGCTGTCCAGGGGGTGTTGAGGTTGAGACGGGTTTCTAGAGTGGTGAAAATCGCGGCTGCAGATGGAGGAGGGAAAGGGAGGAGTAATGGTGGGAGATGTTGAGGAGTTCTTGTGGTCATGGGAAGCATGAAAAGCAAAGTGTTTTCTCGTGAGACAAAAGTTACGATTCTTATACACAAGGTATCACACATCGTTCGCGCCAAAACAAAAACGTCCTTTCACCCCCCAAAAAGCCTAAACCCAAAACTCTGGTTTTCAAAATCCCAATCATTTCCCCAATCGAATGGGGAAAAAATAATTGCAAAAAGCTAAGTCACCCAGGTCCGAGTCGAATTCGAGACCAGCTGCGACCTTACGAAAACTGTACCTTGGGATACCAACGCACCCGGCAATGTTGTCATCAACTGGAACCGCTGCGCCATATAGACGTAGTCTTGGGTTTGGGTCCCCGTTGTGGCAGATAGGTCAGATACGGGACCTTATATGGTCGCTTGCAAGCTGCAGCCCCGGCTTCCAGTGGAATTGGGTGGACGGGACGGGAAGACCCGAAGGGTAAGTGCCGTCTCGTTGTCCGATCTTTGGTGAGGAATGGGCAACCCGGCGGTGGCAGGAACGGTAGCAGGTAGGTAGGTAGAGCAGCAAGCACGGCAGTGGCAGGTACCTGCCCTGGTTCTATAAATACGCAGTCTACACCTTGGAGATTTAACTGGAAGGGAGAGTCATACTCTTTTCTGTGCTATGTTTTCTACCTTCACTGTTTAAAGCACCGATGCGTCTTCCAACTGCTGCATATACTGCTTCAGCCCCCGCTTCCCTTCTTTCCCTTCTTCCCCTTCCTATAGGTAACCCCCGACCATCACACATACACACCATTCTTCATCACAACTCATCCATACTCCACCCATCATTCCCAATCTGTCATTCTCTGAAAGCCATCATCTCCATCTCCTCCATTGCACTCTGGTCCTACTTCAGAACCACCTTGCAAACCCGACCCTCGACTTCGGTAACTCTCGAGCGGGTTCAAAGAACACCACAGCCACCGGCGTCACAATGGGAGCAGAGATCTCTACCATCTTCGACGCTGTTCGAGCAGAAGCACGACCTGTTGGCGTGAGCGCACGTCTTCATCTTGGTGGTGTTTGGAAGATAGGGTTTGTTGTAATTTGTTGGGTTTGTTGAAGGTGAGGTTGCTTTCTGCTTGATACCTGATGCTTGACGGCTGATGGTTGTGTGTGGATGTGCTTGATAGATGCTGATGCTGGAGTGGAATATGATGGGATATATCGGGCAGTCCTTAGCTTTACATCTCTTCCTCTTCCTATTTGAGTCCTCTTTGACTCTAAAGGGAAGGCGCGGGCTGTCGGGCATTGTTCTCTTTCCGCGTCATTGTCACCTCATTCCTTGGGAACAGGCATAACGACGAGAGGTGAGTTGGTTGGCTAGCCGTTTGGTATGGGGCGAGGAGCGTGTATCAATGCTGTTGATTGTTGTTCTTTGTAGCCAACATCGTCAATCCTATTTGTGTCGAGATCAGATTTACTCTTTCGGTGCCGATTGGTGGTTTGGGGGTGTTTGTTGTTTTCTCATCTCTCAAAGTCCGTGGGGGTTAACATTTACATTTACCCCAAGGATTCAGCATATTTCCTCAGTTAAAGATGGCATTATGGAGGATGCCAGTTCAAGGGCTCCATCGAGCGACATAATCTTACGTGGGGGTTGAAATTCACACTATGCACCAAGGGCTCAGCATACTTGCCCGGTTAAGAGCCTACGGACAACATCAAACGTGTTGGAATGTGTCAAACGAACGATGATGGAATTCTCTCTGGCTACCTCCGCCGATTTCTCTTCTTTTGGCTTGGGTCTACCAACATGAAGTCATTGTTGGCAACTTGGACTTGACAATGCTTAACGAACGAAAAATTCCCACGATCCAGAGCCATTCGGTCCCAGTCCATCCATCTACTTAAAGAAGTCCTCCAACAAATCTTCTTTTGTCATCCAGACAGATATCACCACCAAACCCCGGTGTTCAGCACCTAAGTCCCATAGACAAAGCCCTAGTGTCCATCCTCCAGATCAGCATAAACTCCCCAGTCCGATCTCTGACTGACTGCACAGAAAAGCTTCGTTAACCCCGAGCCCTCTCCCACCTCCGAGTTCCCAGTAGAGCCGGCTCCCAGGACGGTTAGAGCCCAAGTGTGGAAGCCACTCCAACGAAGCCTTATCTCAGGGCCCTTAGTTGGTCTGACAATCCCAGGAACCGAGGCAGTCAGAACAATACTTCTCATCCAGCGGGATCCATGCCTTGCAAGAGCAGGTTTGGCAGGCGCATGTATGATCCGCAGGGTTTTTGCCAAATTACACGCCCTTGCTTCCAGTGTTGTCGCTATGGGTAGACGTCATTTTCCTACTATCTTCGGGAGGGCGTATTGAAAGGGTGGTTGGGGTGTGTTTGTGCTTTTCTTTGAGTTGGACGCCTTTGGCTGTGCGTAGGGATATTGACCTGAGGTTGTACTTGGGGGTCTGACTCGCGCCAATATGTCTCTTTACTGTGTGTCTTAATAGAGGCGAGGATGTCGTTATGTCAGATTGAAATGGTGGATGTGATCGTGGCCTCAGGTTACTTTTATACCTTTTGGCTTGGTCATGAGGAGATAGATGCGATGTCTACCGGTCTCCGTCTTTTCTACTGTTGGCCAACTTGTTGGGGTTTACCGGTGAATGTAAATAGAAACAGAGTAACGCGGTTGTCCCACTGCTGGAGTATGAGCGTAAAAGGTGGGTTCATAAGGTACTGATGTTAGCTTTATGGTCACTCCTGGCGGACTCTTTTGTCTTGGATTGTCGGGTCACTTTCCACTTTCTACCGGTTTACCTCCCTACCTCTATTGTTCTGTTGGTAGTCGGGGAGCGCCTAAAGTACTTTGTTCTTTGGCTACCATTCCTTGTGTTTGAAAATCGCCTTTCAGAGTTCGCGGCTAACAAACTCTTTATTGTGTCCGGTTTGGATTCAACCGGCGCGCGTGTCCTAAGCTCACCAATGCGTTAGGCTTGCCGGTTCACGAGTGTGAAAACACATCAAAGGGTATTCAGTACGCTATTCTTTATTGTGTGTATCAGCCGTGGGAAATGACCGCAAACCCTACCTTTTGCAGACCGGCATGTAGGTAACATGTCTTTCCAGGCACCAGACTATCACTCCTGACAGAATCATCGAAGTATATCATCAAATAGTCATGGGAAGCGTTTGCACTTGTTACAGAAACATCCAATGGACCTCCGGTGACATTCTTCGTGCGCCACATCATCTCAGCGTCGTGAGACGGTTTCTGGATAGGAACCAATGGCAGTTAATGGGAGTCAACTGGAGTTGATGAAAAGCAACGAGGAGCAAAACAATGAGCAATATTGCAGGCAATGCAAGCGAGTAATTACCGAGGTAGGAAACAAACCTGAGGGAAAGAAAGAGACAAAGACAAGCCTGGGGCGCATCACCCCTTACCCTTACACGCACACGGCATTTTCAAACTCTTGGTCATAACTTCCCGCGAACTGCCAATTTTTCTTCATACCCAGTCAAATTGGTTTCTCCCTATAAACTTCTCTCCTGGAGTTACTTCATGGTACGAAACTGATTCCCGGCGATATACCACAGCTGAGTGGGTGCATTTGCAGCACCCTTCAGTTGCAACGTATAGAAAATCCGGCTGAGTTACCCAAATGTTTGGGGGAACTTCAAGGTAGGAGGTTGGGATATGGTCTATTTTTCATCTTCGAACTTGCTTTTGGCAATATCAGCATCGAATGTCAATTAATTATCGAGTGTCCCGAGAATTCAACAGATGCCGGGTGCGTGTACGGTGAAAAGGGTGCCGGGATCATGCTCTTTCGTGGATGTGAGTTTCCGACGTAACGTGCCGGCCTCTCAGACGCCGGGAGCCCCCGCGTGGTTGATGTCAGCGCTGGTCTCGGTGGCCCGTAAGGAATACCCTCTACGCCGACCTACACGACCAGCCAGAGAAAACGCAAAGCGGACATGATAAGCAGCGAGGAGAACCGAGATGACCCGAACGATCTCACTTCTCCATACGCCTAACACAAAGGCCATAAAGGTTGGAACGTTCAAACCCAATCGGATGCAGGTGAAGGGGGCCTTGGAGCTGCTCAGGGACTCCGTCAAGTGGTTCGAAGGCGTATCCCCAAGGGAGTTTTTTGTTATTTCGGCCTACAGGCCGAATGTAGAGTATGGCAACATGCTCTTGAAGCAAGGCTTCCAGCAACAAAAATTCATGCCGCCCATACAGACTACCAATTCCTCCCAAGGCCGAGAGGGCTCGATCTCGGTAGTCATTACGTATCGGTACCAAGGCCGGCCTCATCCCCGGTTTCATCTCGGACTGTCTTATCAGTCTCCGTCACGGGCTGTGGCCGAGCCAAGCACAATGGTTTTTGAGTCAGAACAGCACCGCCAGCAGATATTGCGGAAGCCGGGGCGGAGAGAAGTTCCTTGGGCTCGGGGATGGGGGTTGTAGTGCTGTTGAGGTTGAGACCTTTTGGTGGTCCCTTGCGGAAGTCGTCGCAACACTTGCCAGCGGTTCTTCAACTTCGAATGATACGACTCGCTGGTCCTTCCGCCCCTTCTTCTCGAGGTTGTGGGACTTGTATATGGTGTGAGATTGGTGAAGAGAACCGCCAATCGAGTTTCTCTTGGGCATGGCGAAAAGCGATAGACCTCAGAGCGTACTTAACTTTCCGCTAATCCAAAATCTCATAGCGGCACTCAGCCTGAGCGGCTCGCATGATCCTTAAGAGTATCAGATGTGCTTTTGGCAGCTCTTTGCTTGTTCGGCGGTTCTCTGCTGGTAATAGCGAGGAACACCCAGGTGGCGTGAAACCTCTTTGAATCTCAACTTTGAGGCGCTGGGTCGATCGACGAGCGAAGCTCTTACCGATGGGGCTATTGACTTGTCCACTGGCGGCATGATGCTCATTTATGAGTATCGCTCAGTAATGTCGGGTTTAAGGGATTCGCCCACTGGGCGATTCGATTACAAGTGTTGGGCCGCGTTTACGCTATGGGCAACACATGATTTACACTGGCAATAGGCCTCGGTTTGCCCTCGGATCAATGGTTTTGGTGGACAGTTAGGGCATTGCTCTTAATTTTGTATGCTAGACTCACCGGTGCGGCACGTCTCATGCCCTACGGGAGGCGGAAGTGGACGTTAAAAATAACAACAACAACAAAAAAAAGCCGGGTTTGAGGCTCTCCGCTGGCCTAAGAGGTGCTCCATGCGAAGTATCTGAAACCAGTTTAAACCGTTAGCTGTACCAGAACAGAAAGGTGAGTTTTTGTTCGTCCGCCATGTAGAATCATGTCATTCCAAGTGAAGATGTGTCGCTGTTAGCCATTTTCGTAAGCGTGTTGTTTACATGCACAAGCAGGTGAGGTCACTCAGGCTGTCCTTGTATGTTTGTTTCCAGTTTTGACCAGCCAATGAAAATCGTCAGTCAGGGGCAAGACAGTGGAGGTCCCCCCGTCCCAGGTTTGCCTGCCGCCACAGCGCGGTGTGGGTCTCTGCGCCGGGACCTGGACGCATTATGGATCCCATCTGATTGACGACCACAGCGGGATCCGGTTCTTGACTTCGTTCCACTCCAGCGACACAACGCGACGTGCACCTCTTCCTGAGTCCCATCTCAGCTTCCATCACCCATTTCTTTTCAAGACGACCCATCCTCGACACGTCAACTCACGGGGATTTTCAGGACCACGAGCCCAGAAATCGCGGCATTCCCCCGTCCATACAAACGCGTAGCTGCGAAACTTTTGCTACCTTTCCTTTTTCTCTTTCCGCCTTCTTTTCCGACTTGTCGCCTGCACAGGAGCGCAATGCACCCCTCTTAAATTATCGCCAACAGCCATCATATTTTGAGCATACCATCACATATACGACTCTATTATTCCGTCCAAGACTCCAGACTACCTTGGCGATTGCCGGAACCAGGCACGAATGCGAACGGGAACACCTCTTCGACTCGCTATCCTCCCCCGCGCTTCCGTCCGACTATAATATCCCCAAGCTGCGCGGCACCAACAAGTCCTCACCAGTGATTCACAATGGCCTCGGCTGCCCTCAATGGCGCTGCCACCAACGGCCGCGGTGTCTCTCCTGCCTCTTCCGTAGGAGGCTCCAACGGCTTTCCCAAGAGCAAGCGCTTCACCGACATCCCCTCGACCATCGACATCCCCGTCCAAGATCAAGATGACGAAGCTGTCGAAATCGACCTCGAGGTCCTCGCCGATGACCCAACCGAGCTTTGCACCCTCTTCGAGATGGAGGGCGCCGCCCGGACGTATTGGATGACAGTGTCCCTTGCCTACGCAAAACAGAAGAAGATCGACTTCGCCATCGAGATGCTCATCAAAGGAGCCAATGCCATGCAGGCCAACAACCCCAGAGAGAAGCTCAGCATCGTCACGGCTCTCTGCTGGATGTATTTGTGGAAGAGCAGGGAAGCACCCAGAGTCGCCCCCGAGGGCGCCCTTGTGTCCGAAGCAAAGACCAAGGAATACTATCTCCAGCTCGCTACCCAGAGTCTCAACGAAGCTTCGCGCATCAACCCAGCTTTCCCTCCTCTCTTCCTGGCCCGTGGTGTCCTCCAGCTCCTGAGGGCGTCCCTCCAGCCACCATCAAAGGCTCCCGGAGCAGTCGACCCCGAAAAGACCGAGACCTTGCGCGCCGCCCTCAAATCTTTCGACGACGCCCTCCGAGTTTCTAGCGGCGAGAACATGCTTGCCGTTATTGGCAAGGCCCGCGCACTCTTCTCGCTGAGCAGGTATGCAGACGCCTTGGCTGCCTATCAGGATGCCCTTGCCAGAGCCCCAGATCTTGTCGACCCCGACCCGCGAATTGGCATTGGCTGCTGCTTCTGGCAATTGGGATACAAGGATGACGCCAGGATCGCCTGGGAACGAGCTCTCGAGATCAACGCCGAGTCCAAGGTCGGCAACATCCTCCTGGGTCTCTACTACCTCGACGCGAGTGGACACGTCCCCATCAACAGCCCGGAATTCATCAGGCTGTACAAGAAGGCCATGACCGAGTACACACAAAAGTCCTACAAGCTTGACAAAGATCTTCCCCTCACATGCGCCACATTTGCCAGCTATTTTCTGTCCCGGAAGCAATTTGATCATGTGGAAGCTCTTGCCCACAAGGCTATCCAGTTCACTGATGTCAACGCCATAGCGAGTGATGGCTGGTACCTGCTCGCGCGCAAGGAGCATTACGCCAATAACCTCGAGCGTGCTGCAGATTACTACCGTCGTGCTGATGATGCCCGAGGTGGCACTGAGCGTGGCTATTTGCCGGCCAAGTTTGGTGCGGCGCAGCTGTCCGTCATCAAGAACGACCTGGGTGAGGCCAAACTTCGCCTAGAGAAGATGATTCAGCAGGCGAAAAACTACGAGGCCATGATTTTGCTCGGCAACTTGTATGCCGAGGAGGTTTTCGCCAACCAGTATGCTCCGGTCAAGGAAGATAAGTCTGCCGAGGCAAAGAAGGCCATTGGCCTGCTGGAGAGCGTGCGTTCGGCGTGGAAGGATCCTAAGAAAAGCCTCGCGCCAGATGCCGCTGTGCTTCTCAATCTAGCCCGTCTCTATGAGACCGAGAACCCTGACAAGGCCCTCCAGTGTCTTCAGCAAGTCGAGCAGCTGGAGCTTGACCAGGTTCCCCATTCAGAGCGACCAGATGAAGTTGAGGGCGAAGCTGCGATCAAGGCTGCGCTCCGGAGGTTCCTCCCGCCGCAGTTGCTGAACAACATCGGCTGCTTCTACTACCAAGAAGAAAAGCACGAGCTTGCGAGCGAACTCTTTGAGGCCGCGCTCAGCTCCTGCATTAGAATTGGGGAGAAGAACGATGATACTGACACCGACGCTTTGGTCACCACCATCAGCTTCAACCTTGGCCGTAGCTACGAGGCTCGGGGCATGTCTGACAAGGCGGTTGAGGTGTATGAGGGCTTGTTGAAACGCCACGATGACTACGTGGATGCCCGCACCAGACTGGCTTACATCAAGCTTCGGAATAACCCTGGCACCAAGGAGGGCCCTGATGCAGTTGCCAAGCTGTACCAGGAGAACTCTTCCGACCTCGAGGTTCGTGCTTTGTATGGCTGGTTTCTCGGCAAGCTTAGCTCCAGGAAGCGACCTAGCAACATCGCTGAGGACCCGGAGCAACGCCATTACAAGCACACCCTGCAAAACTATGATAAGCATGACCGTTATGCTCTCGTTGGCATGGGAAATCTGCACCTTATTTCTGCTAGGGAGATGCGTCGCGAGACAGAGGCAGACAGGCAGAAGCGGAGTGCTGCCTACAGCCGTGCTGTTGAGTTCTTCGACAAGGCGCTCCAGTTAGACCCGAAGAATGCATATGCGGCTCAGGGAATCGCCATCGCACTTGTGGAGGACAAAAAGGACTACAAGGGGGCATTGCAGATATTTATCAAGGTTCGCGAGACCATCAAGGACGTGCACGTCTTTGTCAACTTGGGCCACATTTACGCCGAGTTGAAGCAGTTCACGAAGGCTATCGAAAGCTACGAGATCGCGCTCGGAAAGGAGGGTAAGGCAAAGGATGCCAACATTCTCTCATGCCTTGGCCGTACGTGGCTGAACAAGGGGCGCGCTGAGCGTAACTTGGACGCTTACAAGACAGCCTTGGAGTATGCCCAGAAGGTACGTTGATTCGAACCCACAAGTTGACTGCAGTGACTAACGCTTTTCTCAGACCCTAGAAGTTGCCCCTGAACAGGTACACTTCAAGTTCAACGTCGCTTTTGTGCAGATCCAACTCGCCTCGTTTATCAACGGTTTGCCTGAACACCAGCGTACCTCCACCCAACTCGAGGAAGCTGCGTCAGGTCTCGAGTCCGCTATTACCGCCCTCGACGAGATCGCCGCCTCGGACCACCCACCCTATCCCAAGCACGATATCGAGCAGCGTGCCAACATGGCTCGCAACACTCAGCGCAAACAGCTCGAGCGTGCTCTCGCCTCCCAGCGGGAGTACGAGTCCAAGAACAAGGAGAAGCTCCAGGTTGCACTTGAGCAGAGACAAGCAGCGCTGAAGAAGAAGGAGGAAGAAATCCGCAGGAAGGAGGAAGAGGAGCGCGAGCGCCAAGAAAAGATCAAGCGAGAGAGAGAAGAGATCGCCGCCCGCGACCGCAAGCTAGCGGAGCAGAGACTCGAGGAAGAGCGACAGCGTCAGGAGGCGGAGATGACCACCGACAGCGAGACTGGCGAGAAGAGTAAGAGGCAAAAGATGAAGAAGGCCAGCAGCACGCCTGCCAAGCGCGAGAGAGGTGGCGAGGAGAAGCGCGAGCGGAAGGGTCGTGCTCAGAAGAAGAAGAAGACGAGTCGCAGGGACCGAGACGATGACGATAGTGACGCCTCGGGCTCGGATGCCGAAGAAGGCGGCAGGAAGAGCAGGCCACCCAAGAAGCAGAGGCTTACTAGCAGGAAGACCGAGCCTACTGGCAAGTACAAGAGTGCCGAAATCGTGGTCGACAGCGATGAGAGTGACGAGCCTGGCATGGAGATGGATGCTCTCGAGAGGGCTGAGAGGGCCCTCGAGAAGAAGCAGAAGCGCAGCCATTCGCCCCGTAGTGGAGGGGAGTATGACGATGACGAGGATGAGCAGTCCAGGAGGGGCAGAAGCCGGTCAGAGGAGAGTGTCGATCGGATGGACGTCGATGACTCCAGGGCCGACGCTGGTGGTGACGACGAGGAGGAAGAAGCCACTGTCTCAACAAGACGCCAGAACAAGCGATCAAGAAGAGGCAGGATTCTGGACGACGACGACGACGATGAGGATGAGGATGAGGGTGGAGCGGCCGCTGAGGCGGATGCGGATGAGGGAGGTGATAAGGAAGAAACGAAGGAGGCGGCTGGCTCGCCTGCTGCTTCTCCGGCCAAGGCTGATACCGTCATGGCTGATGATGAAGAATAAAAGGCCGAGCGGGTTGTAGTAACTATGAACATGATCTGAGAATGCTTAGAAAGGAGTTTAGGGGAAAAGAGTTGTTTCAACGCTTGCTTGCATTATGACGCCGCTGGTGTCGATTTGTATATCTTGAGAGGTATTTCTTCGTGGTACATAAAATGGTCACGACAATGGCGTAATAAGTTTATTGGATGTTGTCGGTTGTTCGTTGCAAAGTCCCACCCTACCATCTTGATACTACCTACACAAATTGCCTTTCTGGAACGTCATAGTACTGAATGTGCTTCAGAATTCGTTCAATATCATCAGTACCAGTTTGACATTAGAAATATACGGACCACTTACTTACTATACGAAGAGAAAACCGTTCACTGGCCATGGAGTGCAACGCTTACAGAAACCATTCTAAAATTGAACAACCGTCAATGCATTTGCGGAATCTTAACACCTAGAACAAGAGCAGATGGAGATTCGAACCTTGCTTAGGAAAAAAAAGGAACAGGAAACATGAGAGATGTTGCGTATCCAATCGCCGAAGAAATGCGAATAGTGATTGATGATTTGAGGTGCCAAAAAGCGAAAAAATATACTCCGGTACGGGGAATCGAACCCCGAGCTTCGCGGTGAAAACGCGATATGTTAACCGTTACACTATACCGGATATTGTTATAAGAAAGGCGTTGTGCCAAAACTTATAGCTAGCAAATCTAAGCGCTCCACTATTCCACGTTAGATAGATAGTTTCACGGTTCCCGTACAAAAAAAGGCTGCAAATGCACGCATCGAGGGACTGTTGGTGAGGACTATACTGTGCGGGTATATCCTGGCAATAAAGTCCGTCACCCAAACCAACATCTTTCTCCAACATTGCAAATTTCACCGTCTGACGCGACGACGATCAGCGTCGAACAAGGCTCATATCATCCACCAGTTCCTTGACTCTTCTTTTCGGACAATCATGAAACGTACCATCTCGGTGTATGAAAGTTACGAAACCGAGCGATTCCTTTGCTTCTTTACCTCACAATCGTCGACAGCTGCCACGCGAATCTGTCACCGACGATAACCATGCAGCAAACGGCTCTCCTCGTGCTTTGCAGCATAACTTTTCAATGTCGGAGCGTGACAAAGTCGAGGTCTCTGTTCCACAAGGCCCTCAATACCATCAGAATGGCAGGGCCGTCTTTTCTAGAGACTTGCGGCGTTCGCGGCACTACCATAGTCAATAACTACCATGACCCTACCGTACCGTGGGGACGATTACGTCTGGACTCTGGAGAAAAACTCGAGGGACAACATCGATATCACCTGTATCAAGTTATGCAAAACCTGCTATGGATGGTCGGCGAAATTGAAGAGATTGGATCCCCCCCCAGACGTCCGGAGCAATACACTAAACCCTTCTACTACTACTACGAAGAACAGGATCCAGGCAAGACAGATGAGCGGGCACTGGCGGATCGAGTCATACAAGACATTCTTCTCTTCCCAAGTTCCCAGGTTTACTTCACTCTCGTTCCTTTTTTTATTTGGGGGGGGGGGGGGGGGGGGCATTGGGACCCAAAATACGACCACTGGAAGAAGGCTGCCAGGCAGTCAGGCAGAATTAGCGGTGTGCCTACCCCAAGGAGGGAAGGTTTCGCCGCCGTCCGTGTGAGTGCCCGACATCCATATTGTTCGAGAGTTGGAAAGGAAGTTCCCGCAATCCGCAACACACCCGCAGTCTTGCCAAGCGGCTGTTGACAGGTTGTATCGGCGTTTCTACCACAAGGATCCCAGCTGTTGGTGATTGTCTTCAGATTGTCTTTGTCTGACGAGAAAAGCGGCGCAGACATTGTGAAAAAAAGGTGAATGATGATTGTTGTTGCACCAGAGCCCAATGCCTACCGTGGGGCGCGTGGACATGGACATGGACGTGGTCCATGATGAAGCAGCAGCAGCGGGCAGCTGATCCGCGTGAGATGCCAGGAACTGTTACTGCACGACCACCAAAACGGTATTGGGGAGCCAGGGCTACCGGGGTTCTACTCAAGGAAACCTCATAGGATGGATGGAAAGAGAGTTGGGGTTGGGTACCGCTTTTTTGCCTCAAAAACTCTTTGTCCGAACACCGCGTGTGCGGATATGCTCCTTTCCCTCCCCAGAGAGGTTCCGGAGAGATCTAGTCCGCAACTCCCGGCTCCGAGATCTCTGACACACTCCCCGGCGTGCCTGATTGGCTTTAGACCCTCATCCTCTGTGGTCAAGCGAGACAAGCGTCATGCTTCTTTCTTCTCTCAGGCAATCTCGACGCAGTTCACTCGTCAAGTTTGCGATTTGCTTGCGCGAGATCTTGCCACTCCATTCCTTGTGATACCCTGACGCAGCAGGACAGAACAATCCATAAACAGGCTGTCCGCCAGTTGGGCCGGGCCAAAATTCCAAAGACCAACAACCAAACATACCTAGGGTATCCATGGGGTTGGGGGTTACGACACCAGAGACATACATCACTGCACTACACTACACGACACGACAATCTTGCTGCTGCCACCACTACTGCTTCTTCTGCTAATGCCGCTTCTGACGCTGCTGTCACCCATCCGATCGTCTAGTAGCACAGATCTCCAACAAAGCTGTCTGTCCGTCCCGGGTGCATACTCGTCTCGGCAGAAATGATACTAGGATGATCCATTTTCAGCCATATGCCAGTGAAACAATCGTTTCCCGATTGTCGACAGACCGCTTGTTCTGTCATCATGCTCGTGGTGGCAGTTGCGGGCAGCAGCAGCGAGGCGCGGGGAGAGAAGCTCGGGGGTGGTGACTGCCCACGCGCGGACTGGAGTTTGTTGGGCTGGGTCTCGGGATTCGTATCTCTCTCTTCTGGCCTCACCTCGGGGGCGGCGCTTGGAGGGGGAGACGAAAGAAACTGAGACATTGATCCATGCTGGAAGCCTTTTGTTGTTAGGGCTCTGGCTAGCTAGGCCAGGCTTACCACCCAGTCTTCTTACATCTTCCTCAGTATCTCGCCTGGGTCCGTCTGAGGTATGAGGTGTGGGTTGGGCTGGGTAAGCAACAACAACATTCCCATTCCATCAGACCCGAAGCACACATCCACTCACAGCCTTTTTAATGTCTCTCCCCCACCTCCTATGCTTGGTCTACTGCCTAGGCAATTTGTGAGAAACAAGCAGGCAGGTGTCACAAGATACGTCTGTCCAAGATAACTGTCAGATTGTGCCGGCGGGGCAGCTAAGCCTGACTGACAAGTTGCGGTAAGCAGTCATCAGTCAGGTCAGTCAGTTCTCGACTCCCACAAGATCCCAAACACTGACTGACAGAGAATTCCCGAGATTTGGCTGCTAGACTTGACCTTCCCTGTCCCTCTTGTCCTAGTGTCAGCACAGGGGTTCTGGTATGGTAATCTTACCTGTACTGTATCGACATACAAGAGATACAAACGCAGAGTAGGCGGCGCAGGAGGAATGTATCGACGAGGAAAGCACAAGCCGGGAAGCCTGCATTTGTCTATTTTCAATATGGCTGAGAAAAGCAGGAAAGAATAGGGACCTACCTCTGGCACAACCACAACATAAGTCTCCACGTCATTTCTTGGTGCTCCGTGCCCTTGCCTCTTCTTTTTTTTTTTGTGTTTTCTGCTGCTTGTGAGAGGGACCTACCTGCCTCGGGGGTCTGTATCGGGCCGGGGACCGACAAGTGGACAATGTATTCATGCCGGCTGTCGCTATGTATGAGATTCCGCAGTGATCCTTCTCCCAGTCACTTGCTCGTTGGTTCGCTCGCTCGGGTACTCACCAAAAGGTTCCGGTTCCTTGACCGCCTCTCTTGTTGGGCACATAATAGGCGTCTTGTGCTTGCCGTGCTGCGTTTCCTCAAGGGCCTGCTGGCCTGCTGTCCTCTTAGCGTCGCAATTTTTAATCTATTTTGTGTCTCGTATGCCTTTATCGTCATGCATTTTCGGATCTGCTCTTGTGCTCCAGCAAGCAGCCCGGCTAGCATGGTGGGCAATTGTTGGCATACCGTGGATGACCTGTCTGCCTATCTGTCTGGCTGTCTGTCTGATTGTGTCAACGTATGTGTGTGGGTGGGTGTGTCACCAACCAGCCAGCCAGACATGCCAATCTGGCATGGATGCCCCTTTTTAGGACCAGCCTCTTTGACGAAGCTTTGATGGTAAAGAAGCAGGAGGTAGGCGCGGGGGAGGAAGAGGGATCATGGTTAATGTAGGGTATTATGTCGTGTACGGGACCGGCATACCGACATATGCTAGCGAATAGACGATGTCTGGTTGGATGAGGGGTGGGGGTAAGGAATTGACAGAGAGGCCATTGTTTGGTGAGGCCGGGGACGCGAACGAAAGAAAACATGACGGAGCTCGCCACATTTCATGGAATAAAAAGCACGGGCATCGCCGGGTTACAGACCCGAAGATTTGAATGGGAGATGGGGATTTGGGTTTGGGGTGAATACAAAACGTGTGCAATGGTTCGAAAGGAAATTACCGAAGGAGGCTTCGGGCATGACGGAGCTTCTGGATTGGCTATGAGGGGAGGAAGAAGATTGATGTGCTTCTGTTTCGGAATTCGGGAGCTTAAACACACCCTCTTCGTTCTTTCCAAATGAGGCGTCCAGTGCAGTCCTGGTTACTAGCATGGCGTACTATCATTTGCCCAAGTCATCATCAGGTGGGTGTTGAACTGACCGTGGCAGCTTTTCTCCCTCGGACCATCAAATACAAGAAAGAACCACAAGTGGAAACTGGGCAGGCATCAACAAAGTCCCCGCAATAGGGCAACATGCATAATTTCAGTTGGTATCCATGGAACCTACCTACCTGAAAGACCATTTTCCGATGCTACGGTAGACATGGATGGAATCTGTGCAAGGTTCGACGTGTTCGGTTTCGATGCATCTACCCATCATCCATCATCCATGATCCAACGTATCCAACCCGCAAACCCGCAAACCATTCAGACAATCTTCATAGTCCAGCCCAGCCGCCCACCCTCGTACACATACATTCACATTGGACAGATCCTTGCTCGGTTTGGCGCTTTTGTGCCCCCAAGGCCCAAATACTCCCCTTAATGCATGTCTTGACGTCCGACATCTAGGGTGGCCTGGGTGGGGACTTGGTCCTTGAAAAATGTCTTACATATAATGCTAGTGGGAACAGATCCCAGACCCATGGCCGGGCAGGCCCCATGTAGCCTATGAATGAGATGGACTAAAAGATGCCGTCACCTTTTGGCTTAGAGATGGCTACTGCAGAGCGTAGTTAGAGCGCAGTTTGTTCGTACACAGTAGTGTTGCCGGTTCGAAAACACTGGGGTTTTGTACTACCTGAGTCCAGGATTGTCTACATCCCTACTTGCCTTCCTTCCTGACTCATTATCCACCAAATAGTATGGAGAACGGAAAACTCTATGAAGTGATTCTTCACTTTGACGAGGGAATCACTCATAAAGAAGATTGATCAAGAGATGTGTTGTCAAAAGTATTTTGCTTGATGCTTTTTAGCAAGTACATGTTGTCTAAGCAATTGAGACAACCTCTGACAGCCCGTTTCTTAGCCCTGATGGGATATCTCTCCAAGCCAAAATGCCAAATATGCTGTGTGAATGATCCTAGGGTATACCCTGCCCGCCACCCAGAAAAGATGCCACCCAGGAGCGGGATAGCCAAAAGAAGAACCAAAGGAAGCACATACATAACCAACCGTCCTTTTCCCGTGCTACCAATGCTTGTCCAAAACTCCTTCATCTCCGGTTAAACATGCCCAAGATAATACAGATCCGAGAAAAAAGTGGCTGTGACGGCCGCCAAAGATTTAAATGCTTGCATGGTGCCCATGCCCATGCTTATGCCCGTGTCCATAACTCTGATAATGAGGATCCATCTCATAGGACTCGGAGCTCTCACGGCTGCTGTAATCAAGCACGCCGCTGTCGCTCATGGGAGCGGCATACTGCGGTGGTCGGACGTCCTCCTCAGATTTGGGAAGGTTGAGAAGGTTGCTGATTGACGGCTCGATACTAGCGCTGCGGCCGCGGCGGCTGGGAACGCCACGGCCGGGGCCTGAGCGGCTGTAGTGTCTCGTATGGGATACCGAAACCGTTCGAGTTCGGCGGGCGATGGGTGTTGCGTTGGCACGATAATGCTTCGCGGCCTCGGTCTCGGCCTTTGCCTGTTCGATAAGGAGCGGGACTTTGCGGCGACGGGCGTTGATGAACCAGTTCGAAATTTGGTCTGAAAAGGAGAAGCAGAGTGAGTAAAGAGGTGGCTAGACAGTTTGCTGTCCTATTGTCACTTACTCATCTGCATATTAGTTTCTCTCATCATCTTTTGTTTCTCATCTTCGGTCGGATAAGGATGATTTAGGTGGCCGTACAACCAAGCATACAACTTCTCCGTTACCTCCTTGGGAAGGTTGCCACGCCTCTTATTCTTGCCCCCATCGCCGCCCCGAGGGCTCACAGCAGAATCAGATTGGCTCCCCCAAGGATGAGGATAGCGCGTGCGCTCGCTGCGGGCACGCTGCTCGTAGTGGTTCTGCTGAGGTCCGGTTTGAGGGTAGACCGCGTGACGGTGTTCCGGTAGTGGGCAGTATGAATCTAGGGGATACCAGTTAGGAGGGTAGGTATCCCGGCGGTGTACGGGCTGGTGTTGACCATGCTGACTGTAGCCACGCTGTGGCTCGCCGTGTTGATGTTGACCGCTGTATTGGATAAGGGCGTCCGAAAGAGGCGGGCGAGGAAGCGGGCCATTGGGGTATGTTTGTGATCTGGGTTCTTGGTGGCCATAGCTCTGTTGCGACAAGATACTGATGCTGGGGCTGGCGCCCGTGGCTGGCAGACGATCCGTGGTGTATCCGTGGGATTCTCCAGCATCGATGCTCTCCTTGTGCGTCTGAGATTGCCTGCGGCCATAGTCCATGTCCAGATTATCAAGTTCCGGAATAACGGACCGGATGGGCGGCAGTGTCGAACCGGGAGACGGAAGCGACCGCGGGTCGCTCTGTGAGGCACTCATATTTAAGCCATGCATATTCTGGGCCTGGTGGTGCGGTGGATGAAAGAATGATGTTGCCATATTGTCTGAAGTAAGAAATGCCCGTCGTGTTCTCTTTGAGTGATGGACGGCTGGTGGTAACGAAGCCAGCGTGTGCTAACACTCGGGTTGTCAGTTTTATTAATCTTGAACGTCGTCTGTCAGAGGCACATTACCTCTGGTCCTTGATTTTGACCGAAGAGCGGATCCAATGGTATTTGTAGAACAATAAGGCAGAGTGAAAAGCGACGAGGAGTGGAGGAAAAGGGCCCAAAGTATTGTGGCGGGTATGGGTATTGTTATAAGATTGAGGAAAAGAAGTCGGATATTCGTTGATAGTTGTCACCCCATCAACTGCGTCGGAATTTTGAATATATCTGAATGAGGCGAAGATGCAGAACAAACTAGAAAAGATCCGGGAGTTGCTGGTACCTCTATTGATGTGTGCTGGTGCTGTTTGTCGAGTTCGGACGGCGTAGATCTGATATTAGAGCGTCTCGAAGCTTTCAGGTGTTGTCCGAGACTACCTTGTGTGTAGATATCTTGAATGCACCACTTGTTGCAGGGCGTCTCTGGATTTCAAGTTGTGACGGTCTCTGTTGTCTTTGATGTTGTTATTCGGGAGTGATGTTCTGCGATATCCCCCTGAGGCTCTCTTTTGGTGGTAACCACGGATGTTGCGTCTTTGCGACAGCACGTCTGTATACAGAATAAGATGCAAATCCCGAGATTGTAAATCTGGATGGAAATGTAGGGCGGCTGCAATGGTCTTCGTATGCAGTATGTATCTCTGGACGGAAGGCGCCCAGTAGGCCCGTTGTCAGGAGTCCCCCGGCATGTCGAACCCACGGCTCATAACGAACGAAGGAGAAGAAAAAAAAAGAGGTGAAAGCCGGGGATAATTTGTGGACAATAGACGGACGACATGGACAGGGCCCCAACACTGTCGCCTCGGCATCACGCAACCTCATCTCTCTCCCACTCTCTCAAGTGCTCTGTGGAAGACATATGGTATGGTATTGTAACGAGCTGGTACTGTCTTGCCAGGGTGTGGCAATACAAGTAATTACGTATCATGGCGCGCATGGTTTGGCTGAGATGTCAACGCCGGTGCATGCACCTACCGGACAAGGGGCAAGCGAGCACGGCCCAAGGTACAGTTGTACTTATCCAGGGTCGGTACGTACCTACCGAGCTACCATTGCATCTTGACCTTTCCCTCCTCACATGCCACTGCAACGACCGTTGCTGCCACCCGACAATACCATTGAAATTGCATTTATGTATGATGGATTGGATACGGTACGGGCGGGGATGCAACTGCTACAATTTCAAACCTGGATTGAACGGTGCAAGCCCCCGACACCGCTGATATATGTAGGAGCTAGCTTCCTTTCCCCGAAACATGGCTCCATCCACCTTCCGATAACAACAACACATTCTTGCCGCATCTCATATCCTTCCTCATACATTGTACAGGCACCCGCAGACCCAAGACCGGGGTTTACAGAGAGAGAAATTGGTTTCCAAACTGCAAACACGTCACAGCTTCGGCCGGGAAGCCATGTCGTGCACGCGTGTATCGCCGAGGGGGGATGCCGCCGGCGTGCCGTCCCGCACCCTGTCGAACTTGTCTAGTCTTTCGAGCTTTTATATGGCAGCGGCATTCCGAGGAATGAACTTTCTTTCTTAAGAAACCGTTGATTGAAGTCTAGCTCTAGCCCGTGCAAGTTTCAAAAGTCGATGAGTCTCTGGATTTTCCCTCCCCAATGGTGGAACTGAGTTGGAACCAACTTATAGTACTGGCCGGCGCTGTTTGGCTGATTCCATCACGACAAACACTTGACGGACCTGGACACACGGCAGACCCGACAGCCACCGCAGACGCAATCATACGTCGCCGACCACCTGGCGGCGTACTTGACCACGGCGTCGACGGCAGAAACCTGTTGACTGGCCTGAGCTAATGTAATTCTCGTTCGTAATTCTTCCAGTCCACCCAACCGGAAAATGAGGAGACTTCGGAGATGAAGGGGACGATCGGACTTCATCGATCGCCGCCGGCTCGGGGGAAGTTTGCTACCATTCAACATACAAGTGTGTCTTGGCGAACGATCTTCTGGTGACTTTAGGTTCGACATTGTCCGATTACAGGCCTCTACCAATGTTCAACGTCGAATTAAGGCGTGAAAGTGCCATGGTTTATGGATTTGTCTCTGGCCTTTTCGTTCTAACCTCCGGAATGTGCGCAGGTGCGGCGGGCCTGACTTTCCTCGCAAGGCTGCAGGAAACCTCATCAAAACGAGAGATAACTAAGCTCTTTTTCCACAGTCCTATTTCCATTCGTTTTACCCAACCGGACCTGTTTCCGACAATTTGGCAGGGCACTGTCAGGCCTGTCAGCCTGCCTGTCATGGCTATCAAATGTTAAACGTCAATTAGACCTGAAGCAACTAAGGTAGCATTCGGAGCGGGCTCCGTCCTGATTGCAATTGCGTACCTTACCAGCCTCGCCAGCATACAGGTAGGGGACCAACCTCATTCACAAATTTCCCCTTCAGGTATGTATAGTATGCTTGAAGCTACATAAGAACCGACACCAACCAGGTAGGTAGGGGTTGATGGATTAAAAACGTACTTGGTTGGAATGAGTGCCAAAGTTGATTGGGAATTTGTCGTGAACGTACCTCGGCGCATCGGGGCTCCTGGAAAAGAAGCGGAAACAGTTTTTCTCATCTTGTGTGTGAAGAATCGCGACTCAAGGCCGCTCAGTCGTCAGCGGATAACTACAAAACTTCGAATTATCCCTCACTTGATCCAATAGGTAACGTCCGAACTCTCTAAATGAACCAACCAGAACAGGCCCCAGGGCCCTGGATGTCTGTAACAAACTCCTGGAGCAACCCCCGGGTGGACGGATCCATGGGGCCGAGGTGTGGGGAAGGTCGTCGAAGAAGAGACAATCCAGCCAAGAAGGAAAACGGAGGTGGTTCACCAGTCTCGGAACCGAATGACCCCCAAGGACTCTTTACAGTTACCCGTCTCCCGTCCACTGTTCGACAAGCCAAGCAACCTTATTTGCCCGGATAGGGACGGAAGTCGACTGGAATGTGGGTTTGCTCTCTGTTTCGCTGAGTTGAGCACGGTAGTACTCGAGGAACCATCATGGCGTAAATCAGACGGCGAGATATTGTACGAAGAAGGCAACTTGGTCGCTGAGGCTGCCCATCATTGCGACGTCGTGAAGGATCGCGACAACGATACTGGCCATGGAACTGGCATGCGAGCCGATCTAATGAGACCGCCCCTCATCTCCTCAAAGAGACGTCTTTAGACTGCCGCGTAAGTATCCTCGGCTCGTCCCATCGACCTGTCATAATACCTGCTGCAGCGAGTGTCAAAGATCTCCGAAGGACACGACACTCGCAGGGAAAAAAGGCCGGATCAGATCGAGGAACAAGGCAGACAGACAACCCAGCCAGACCGGACCACCACCCTACTCTCTCGTCTTCTCACCAACCAAGAAGTAGTCCGCCAGACACATACACAGAAAGCTGACACTGCAGGAGTGACAGTGACAACGGTGACGGTGACACAGCAAGGCTCGTGGCCGCCGCCGCCTTCTCCGTCGCCGCCACCTCTACTACCAGTAGCAGACTTCCTTCGTTCGTTCGTCCGCCGAGAACCCTTCTCCAGCTTTGCCAGAAGACAGGCGAGCTGTTGTGAATCTGACATACACATCTCGACGTGCCAGCGCACCCCGTTCACGTCGCACGATCGTCAGCATGCCTATGGTGCGGGAGATCTCCAATGCCTTGTATAAGCACTTCTTGTACCCGGACCCGTATGCGAGCCAGACTGCCCAAGACTTTTGCTGGCCAGTTGTTGAAGCGCTCCCAGCTGCCCGCTAAACGTCATCCCGTCCATGAGCGCACTGAATTGGCGGTGAACATACAGCCTTCAAAGCTCGGCGGCAAGCTGGGTTCCTGCAGTGGCATACATGATCCCGTACGTATGATGGCCACGAACGATACGGTCGAGAAGTCGAACGAGGGAGACAACAGCCGTTGAAGCCTCAGTTATCGAAACCGCGATCGACAATGAATCGCCTGGCGACAAGCAGTACTTAGTTTGGTAACTCATTGCGGCATTTCCCTCCCAGACGCTCTCCGAGCGGCCGATATCATAGCTCCAACAGAAATATCATGAAAACAGTAGCGCCACACACAAGCTATCGGAGGACTGTCTTTTCCCCTAAGCAAGTCCATCCGGATTCGTCCTTGTACATTTTCGTGGAAAGGAAACACGAAGCCTCTTTAGCGGCAGAGACCCGTGAAGCATCTGTCGATACCCACGATGGCGTACCCAGTGACAGGCAAGGGGGGTAATGCCAGGCACCCACACACACAGAAAAGAGGTTCTAAATGGTTCGCCCGCTGAAGGCCCGTCAGACATGTATGTTTCTGTGTGTGGGATCGCGGGATCGGAATACGGTTGGTGTCTGCATGGAGGCTCAGCAACGGTTTTGCTTGCTTGCTTCCTTCCGCTCCTTCATGTGTGTTGGCGTTGCCGCTAGTGATGCCTGCGAGGTCAAATGGGAGAAAAGAAATGATCCGTGATCCGATCCATCACGAGAGCTACCAGCTTTTGTTCGGAAGATTTTCATCCCCCCGCTGGAAGGCAGGGTGGGATTGAATGGAAGCTCTTTCGTTGCTTCCGTTCGGGAATAAGGCATGTTGCCAATGTTGCCCCCCACGCAACGTAGGTCTTAAAAAGTGGCCGCCTCCCAACGTGCCGAGAAGTGAAAAGGGAAAGTGGACGAAAATGACATAGATTGAGGTATGCCCATGGCAGAAACAGAAGACAGGTCAAACATACTGTAGGAGAAAGGGCAATGAGAATAGGTGGGTCGATCCCGCTTCCGAAGATCGCCATAGAAAAACTCCCAAGCTGCAGGGGTTTCTGGATCGAGTGCTGCTGTCAAGGCCATCATAAAATGATGCCGAGTGGACGTGAAGCATCCAACCAACCAAACAAAGAGG